GCCAGTTACACACCCACAGACAGAGACGGGCCAGTTACACACCCACGCACCCACCCACAGGCCAGTTACACACATGCAGAGATGGGCCAGTTACACACCCACAGGCCCAGAGACCCAGGCCAGTTACACACCCACAGACAGAGACGGGCCAGTTACACACAGAGAGACAGGCCAGTTACATATATGCAGAGATGGACCAGTTTACACACTTACACACCCAGAGGCCCAGACACCTGGGCCAGTTACACACTCACACACACAGGCCAGTTACACACATGCAGAGACGGGCCAGTTACGCACCCACAGAGACAGGCCAGTTACAGAGACAGGCCAGTTACACACTCACAGACAGAGACAAGCCAGTTACACACAGAGAGACGGGCCAGTTACACACCCACCCACACACAGGGCAGTTACACACATGCAGAGATGGGCCAGTTACACACCCACAGAGACAGGCCAGTTACACACCCACCCACCCACAGGCCAGTTACACACATGCAGAGATGGGTCAGTTACACACAGAGAGACGGGCCAGTTACACACCCACACACACACAGGCCAGTTACACACATGCAGAGACAGGCCAGTTACACACCACAGGCCCAAAGACCCAGGCCAGTTACACACCCACAGACAGAGACGGGCCAGTTACACACCCACACACACACAGGCCAATTACACCCCCCCACACACACACACAGGCCAGTTACACACATGCAGACGGGCCAGTTACGCACCCACACCCACGGGCCAGTTACACACATGCAGAGACGGGCCAGTTACACACCCACAGAGACAGACCAGTTACGCACATGCAGAGACGGGCCAGTTACACACCCACAGAGACAGGCCAGTTACGCACCTGCAGACAGAGACAGGCCAGTTACACACCCACAGAGACCGGACAGTTTCAGAGAGACAGGCCAGTTACATACCCACAGACAGAGACGGGCCAGTTACACACACACAGGCCAGTTACACACATGCAGAGACAGGCCAGTTACACACTCACAGAGAGACGGGCCAGTTATACACTCATAGGGAGATGGGCCAGTTACACACCCACAGATGGGCCAGTTACACACCCACACAGGCCAGTTGCACACATGCAGAGACGGGCCAATTACACACAGAGAGATGGGCCAGTTACACACCCACAGACAGAGATGGGCCAGTTACAAACCCACACACACATACAGGCCAGTTATAGATGGGCCAGTTACACATAGAGAGATGGGCCAGTTACACGCCCACACACACACAGACACAGGCCAGTTATACTCATGCAGAAATGGGCCAGTTATACACCTACAGACTCAGAGACCCAGGCCAGTTACACACCCACAGAGAGAGAGACAGGTCAGTTACACACAGAGAGATGGGCCAGTCACACACCCACGGGCCCAGAGACCCAGGCCATTACACACCCACAGACAGAGATGGGCCAGTTACACACAGAGAGACGGGCCAGTTACATACATGCAGAGATGGACCAGTTACACACCCACAGGCCCAGAGACCCAGGCCAGTTACACACCCACAGAGACAGGCCAGTTACACAGAGATAGTTACACACAGAGATGGGCCAGTTACACACCCGCAGACCCAGAGACATGGGCCATTTACACACCCACAGACACAGGCCAGTTACCCGCAGGCCAGTTATACACAGAGACACATACACAGACACGCAGACACAGGCCAGTTAAACACACACACACACACACACACAGGCCAGTTAGTTACACACATGTAGAGATGGGCCAGTTACACACCCACAGACCCAGAGACGTGGGCCATTTACACACTCACAGACACAGGCCAGTTACACACACATACACACACACATGCAGACACTTGATACAGGCTAGTTACACACATACAGGCCAGTTACACACAGACACGTAGACACAGACCAGTTACACACACACAGGTCAGTTACATACAAACACACTGAGGCCAGTTACACACACACACAAAGACACACGCAGACACGTAGATACAGGCCAGTTACATACACAGACACACACATGCAGGCATGAAGACAAAGGCCAGTTATACACACACACATAGACACAGACACAAACACACACACATACCAATAACACAGACATATACAGACAGAAACCAGTTGCACACATGCAGATACATACACACGCCTGTTATGTAGACATACCAACACAGACATAGACACCAACCTACATGCCAGTTACTCACACACACACACGTGCCCATTACACATACAGACACACCCATATGCAGACATGCAAAAACACACGCCTCCTCCCCAAGAGAGTGTGCTCAGGGCCCAGTGACTCTCACCTGCAAGGCCTGGCCACTGTGGGTCAACCAGACCCCAAGTGTGAGCCAGAGGCACCCAGGGAGGGGCCTGGGCTTTGGCCCACCACCATGGCCGGGGATGAAGCCCACGGCAGCTGGCATCAGACCCCAGGCAAACTGCAAGCTACAGTGGGCCTCACCCAGAGAACACATGTGGCAGGTGACAGCAGGGCACAGGGCTCCAGCCTCACCCGCAGGAAGCCCTTCTGTTCCCTGGCATGTGGCAGTCAGAACGAGGGGGTCAGGGCCTGTGGCTGCAGAGGGGTTGCTGACTGCGGACCTGTGGGCCCACCCAAACACAATGCCCAGTGATGCTGCTGACCAGGTCCCAGGGCCCGCCTGCACACGGTACCCAGGAGCGCTGCCAACTGTGGACCTGAGAGCCTGCCACACATGGCGCCCAGCAGTACTGCCGACTGTGGACCCACCCAAACACAGTGCCCAGTGATGCTGCTGACCAGGTCCCAGGGCCCGCCTGCACACGGTACCCAGGAGCGCTGCCAACTGTGGACCTGAGAGCCTGCCACACATGGCGCCCAGCAGTACTGCCGACTGTGGACCCACCCAAACACAGTGCCCAGTGATGCTGCTGACCAGGTCCCAGGGCCCGCCTGCACACGGTACCCAGGAGCGCTGCCAACTGTGGGCCTGAGAGCCTGCCACACATGGCGCCCAGCAGTACTGCCGACTGCTGACTGTGGACCCGAGGGCCCGCCTGCACACAGTACCCAGGAGCGCTGCCAACTGTGGACCCAAGGGCCTGTCCGCCCGTAGTGCCCAGCAGCACTGCCAAGGGCCCACCTGCCCGGTGGCACTATCAGCAGTAGACCTGAGGACCTGTGCACACACATCAAGGCTTGTTGACAGCTCGCCCCAGATGAGGGTACCCGCCCTGCAAGCTCTCCCCTGGGAGGCTAAGGCCCCAGATGGGATATCTAGCCTCCACAGGAGGCTACCCCAATGTGCAGGGGGTGGGGGAGGTCACTGTCCTAGTGTTGGAGACAGCCATGATGGCCACAGTATACCCCAGCTCATAGCGAGAGTCAAGACTACAGCCTGGCAAGGGCTGCAAGGGAGGGGGCTTTTGGGGGGGGCTCAGGCCAAGTGGGGAGGGGGACCCTGGAGGCCAACAGCACCCGTTCTCCTCATAGTTGGAGCCCAGCTAGGAAATCAAGCCCTGGCTGCTGCACCACCTGCACCCAGGTGGCTGTGAGCACGGAGGCAGCCCAGCCCCCACGTAGCTCAGCGTGCTGCCCCGGATGCTGCCCCCCAGGACCACCAGGGCACCAGGGCATTTCTCTGAAGAAAGCCCAGCACCGGGGCAAACAGTGGACCCGACGCACGCGGGAGATCAGCCTCCTGTGACCAGCATGGCGGCACCACGACTCGGCACTGGGACTCCTTGGATGTGGCACTTCCCAGCACAGCTATGAACAAACAGGGCCTCGCACACAGTAAATAAGTTTTGTTTTTTTCCAGGCACACTCTGAACAACAATGGTGGGACCAGGAAGGCTCCCCGTTCACAGGAAACCCTGGCTGTGTCACCAAGCTCCCGGAGGCGGTAAGGTCGCAGCCGTGGCAGGGGTGCAGGCCGGGGCAGTACCGCTCATAGTGATGTCCCCAGTTAAGTCGCGCTGGGGGGCAGGGGTGCCTGTAAACTTTAACAAAGACCTGGGAGGGAAGAGGAACTCACATTCCTTCTCTCGGCAGACAAAGCCTCCCACTCCCAGACAGGAATGTGAACCCAGAGCCACCTCTGGAACCACGGCGGCACCAACCCAGAACCGGCCACCTTCAGGGCCACGGCACAGAGGA